CCCCAATTTAGTGTGTGAGTGCGCTTACGACTGAACTACCCATCAGCCATGCATCCCCTGGCCACGCACCAGAACACGGGATTCGGGGAATTTTTTAGAGAGGTTTTCTTCCTCGCGGTCCGGGCGGTTAAGCCGAGACCCTCGCCCCCGATCAGAGCTGCGAGACTTGACCACAGCGCTCTTCTCGGGATTACGATATGCCGACGGTGACAGGGAGACTACGTCCCCCTGCCTGCTCGGTGGTAGTGTCAGTACACGCCGAGCCCGTCCTCCTTTCTCCACCGCTATCAGCGGAGAAGCTGGCCCCTACAGAGCCCCACCTTCTGGTTTTTTACCGAGGTTTCCTCCTCCATGCTCCGAAGAGCGAAGAGCCAGCAGGGCAACCGGCAGACACGCCCATCCTGCTGGACCAGGCCTTGCCCGAGAGCCGATAAACGGCTTCCTCTTCTGCTAGAATATTAGCCGCTGGCGATAATCCTCTCCTCCAAGTGAACAAGGAGAAAACAGTGCCATCGCCAGCGTTTCCAGGGTGCACCACGGGGAGGTTTTCTAGCGTAGCACCCTAATCTAATCCCAAACTAAGCTAACCTTACCCGAAGTCAATGACGTCACGTTTGACAGTCGTCTAGTTCGCTTGGTCCAGTAGTAACTTTAAATATTTTTTTTCTATTTTAAGTACCTATCAATTATGTCTGCTACTTATCACACTATTCTTACCAATACTCACACATTCCACAAAGAAACTAAAGGTAGTGTTTGATTATATATGTTTGTATAAACCTATGTGAGAAAGGTTTAAACGTTGATCCATCAGTCTACAATAAACATTTGCAGTGACAATACGTATTTTAGTTGAAGTAATCCTATAGTCAAGCAAAAATGAACTTTAATACCCCAACATATGGTCCAAACGAAGCCGGATTGCGAGCAATAGAAGATAACACAGGTCGGCCACTGAGAACAAAAGTACTGCATTCCAACGCCCGATTCCGAGAATTAGAACTCATATTTTTGCGTAAACAACTTTGAATAAAATATTATAAGAAAAGGTGTGGTATTTACGCGTGTTACGATTACATTATTAGCGTAAAAATGAGTACTACGAGTGAACAATTACTCTGTTTACTTGAACAAAATGCTTCTTTTTTGAAAAATCGCGAGTAAACCTGAAGAAATATCCTAAACAGCGGCTGACAAAGGGGTATATCGGAGGACGGTTAAAGTGTATTGAGGAATATTGGCAATCTTTTAAAACTGCGCACCAAGAATTAGTAAGGTGCACACCAAAACAACAGCGAATGGATATACAATATTTTTCTAATGGAGATTACATCGTGGAAGAGGTATATCTTTGTTTAGTTGCCGATTTAAGTGATAGTTTGGACGCGACTAAATCTAACCAGATGGACACAAGTGATATATCGAATGTACATCTACCTCAGGTGAAATTACCTATAATACAACTTCCGACGTTCGCTGGTAATTATGAACAATGACCTACATTTTCTGATTTATTTTGTTCGCTGGTGGATTCCAACACTACATTGAGCAAAGCTACATTATTTGAAGCTGAGCCTCACCGGGGAAGCTGAAGCCTTGCTAAAACATATAAAGGTAACGGAGAATAATTATGAACAAGCCTTGAACATTCTCAAACAACGTTACGGCAATAAAAGGGCGATAGTCAATTAATTATTTAAACGTTTATTTAGTCAACGAAAAGCACAAACGCAGACAGCTAACCAGATTAAAGCTCTTTTGGACACGACCACGGAATGCTTAAATTGCCTCCAGAACTTGCAGGTGTTAGATGAGTCATCGAATGCTATGATTGTTTACCTTACCGTACAAAGGCTGGACCTGGAAACTCATAAAGCATGGGAGGATGACATTTGTAACTATGATTCGGATGTACTACCTACTTGGGCAGAATTAAAGAACTTTCTGGAGAGTACGTTTCGTGCGTTGGAAATGACTACGCCCACTACATCATATACAAGGGAGAACAAGGTAGTTAAAGAGAACTAATTCGCGAGTTAATTATTGTATAATGTGTAAAGAAGAACATACACTTTGTCACTGCAAACAATTCACGAAGTTACCATTAGAAGAAAGAACTAACTTCGTAAGAAAGAAAATCTCTGTTACAACTGTCCGATCCCAGGGCACTCTGCCGTGAAGTGTCGTCTGCAGGTGTCATGTAGGTTATGTAAGCGACGGCATCACACCTTATTACACCAACCTAAGAACGACAAACCGTCAGACAGTCTTCAAGCTCACTATACAGACGTTGAAGACAATCAAGAATCAACATTTAAATTAGATGATCAACCAGCAGAAGTTCTACTAACATCGCATCTGGCGACTAAGCGGACCACCGCTTTACTCGCTACAGCTCTTCTGCCTGTTAAAGATGAAAGAGGTCACGTTACGATGTTACGCGCGTTAATAGATCAAGGCTCCCAGGCCAATTTTATAAGTGAACGAGCAACCCAATTATTACATCTCAAGGGAACACCTGTAAAAGGGACTATCACTGGCGTAGGTTCGACACATCAGTGACACAAGAGGTAAAACTGGAGCTCCTGTCAAGATACGACAACCAGTTCAAGCTTCAGATTACAGCATACGTCATGAGTACGCGACTCACAACACATCTGCCAACGAAATCCATCACATGTTCACCAACACACTGGCCGCACTTAGAAGGCCTCTCTCTGGCTGATCCGAAATTCCATCAGTCAGGGAGAGTAGACATGCTGCTAGGTGTCGAAGTATACGCACAAATTTTGAAGAATGAGGTAATCAAGGGGCCACCTGGCTCTCCGTGTGCACAGAAGACAAGCTTAGGTTGGATCCTTTTCGGCAACGTTCAGGCAGATAATTCAGAAGCAATCGTAGTCATGCATCATCAATTCAATATCGATCATCTCTTGCAAACCTTGTGGGAGTTAGAAACAGAAGACAAAAAAAGGTTGACTCAAGAAGAAGAAAAATGCGAAACAATTTCTAAAGAAACACATAGAAGAAATGAAGATGGTAGATATATAGTGAAGCTGCCCTTTAAGACTGAAAATCCCGACATTCTGAATGGAAACACACGACAAATAGCAATGCAAAGATTATTACAATTAGAAAAACGTTTTGAAAGAAACAACAAATTAAAAACAGAATACAGAAAGGTGATAGAAGAATATATTGATCTTAAAAATTTGGAAGAGGTACCTGTAAATGAAATAAACAATCCAAGTGTTTATTTACCACACCATGCTGTGATTAAAGAATCGAGCGAGACGACAAAGGTCCGAGTGGTATTTGATGCGTCCGCTTTAGATACTAACAACGTTTCACTCAACAAAGACATGTTAGTTGGACCCACACTACAAGACGATATACGATCTTTGGTCATGAGATGGCGGCTAAAAAGAGTAGCATATGTGGTTGACATCGAAAAGATGTTCCGTCAGATTCTAGTCTCAAAGGAAGATGCTGATTATCAAAGAATTCTGTTTAGAAGAGAAGAAAACGGCCGAGTCACATTTGGCACGGCTGCTGCTCCTTATCTTGCTGTCAAGACTCTGAGACAAGTGGCTGAAGATGGGGGTGGCAAGTATCCCCTAGCTGCTAAAACTATTAAAGAAGATTTCTTTATGGACGATTTGCTGTCTGGCAATGATTCTGCTTTAGAAACTATAGATATAGCGACCCAGGTAGCAAGCATATTGAAAAGAGGAGGTTTTAATCTTCAAAAATGGTCTTCAAACAGTACAGAGTTTATGAAACATTTTACTCAGAACGAAAACAGTTCCTTAGCCGCTCGCTTCACAGCTCGTAAATTACGCGCGACCTCCGATTGTTCGGGCCACTTGAGCGGAGCGCGCCTCAATTGCCCATCTGTTTTTTACGTTACCGGCGAGCGGGTCGTATTACAAACAATCGGTCCTTGCGACTAAGTTTGTTTTGAAAGGTTGTCAAGTGTTATATTTTTTATGTTTACTATGAAACTAGCTATACAATGCTATCTTTTATTTATGAGGTTACGACTCTGGTGTCGAGTTATGTTGTGTTGAAATTGAGATAGCGCGTTTTAAAGCTCGTCTTGTATTCAAGAGCTCATATCTCAAAATGTAAAGCGATGACATATGGTTTTTAATCTTTGATTACGTTACTTATATAATGTATAACAGGATAAGAAATAAAAAAAGTTGACTTGTCTACATATTTATTCAATTACAGGCCTTTGATGGCATACCATTACATGGCGCCGCCTGGCGTAATTTATATCAAACTTAACAAGTCATATAATACACAAATATCATTATAGTCATAAAATATAAGCAACACTTAATAAGTAATCTTATATTCTTTAAAAAAAAAACAAAAATCATAGTGATAGCATTCACCATCACTGAGAAATATGAACATTTCTGAAACAGGTCCCATGCTCTCAGTGGAGTCAATTAAATCTTCTGTTTTTTTTTGTTCTACATACTAAACAATACAATAATAACAATTGATATGTAAATAGTATATTTAATGCCCATTTCAAAAAGGTATCACACTTGCACAATCTACCATTTTATTAACATAAACATGTAGAAATACAGTCAACCAGACGTAGTAATAAGGCTGACTACGTAGTAATAAGGTTGACTACACACTATAAAGTATCGAGAATTATTTTCCGGATCTTACTTACGTACTAATATATATATATACGAGAACTAATGTATATATGTATAATAAATAACTAGAAAAATAATGTGACTTTATAATATAAAAATTAACCCAACTCTTTGTGATAATCTCCGTAACACCCCTCTAAGCACAGATTAATTTGGCACGTGCCACAACTCCACATTGTCGAGCGCCGCACCTTCTTACTTGCGCAAAATTTGCACCGCTGCTTTTTTTCTTTTTTCACAGGCAAATGCATCGGCTGTGGCAATGTGGGTTGTACGGGTGCTTGAGGGGTGTTACAGTGAGTCTCCAAGATTTCCTCTAGGAGCCGTACCCTGAAGGATCTATTACCGAGCTTGTCGGATTCTGTGCGGCCGTGGTCATGGATAACCGACTAATTGTGTATCAACACGTTCAAAAGTCGGCGGAATAGTTTTTCATACCAAATTAGATTTCTGCGCCTCTCTATGGGGAAGCTGCTCAGCATCTGATCTTTAAGATCGATGCCCCCCATAGAGAGGTTATAATCAAGGATTACCTTTGGCCTATATTTATAGTAACCGTATTTTTCTATTCCGCCGACTTCTGGACGATGGTATGTCGATGTCATCGGTACAATGTTTTTATCCATGTACACGAGCACACACAGATCTTTGGTGGAGCTGAAGGAGACTTCACCCGACTTCATAGTCGTTTTATTTTTGACCTTTAATGCTTCAGGGACGAACTCCCTATTGAGCCGAAGAGTGCCCATCGTATCAGTTTTGTGTTGCGATTTGAGTAACCGTGATAGTAGTGGGGAGTTGTAAAAGTTGTCCATGACAACGGTGTGACCTCTTCCGAAAAGGAGTCGTAACAATGTATAGACGATTTTTGATGTGGCATTCTCCGGCTCAATCTCCGCCTCATACCCTACAACCGGTACTGCACCTGCTTCTTGCTGAGCATGAACATGCCCCTTGCCAGAATATACCTCCATCTTCCAGAGGTAGCCTGTGCGCGATTCGCACAATTCGTAACTTTTTATACCTTCCCGAGAACGTTTTGTGGCAATTTTTTGCGAAAACGAGAGTCGCCCCTTCCATAGAAGGAGCGACTCGTCGATTGCTACTTTTTGCTCGGGAAGGTACAGTGCGGAAAATTTTTCATTTAAATGTTTAATAATGGGCATTATCTTCTGGAGTTTAGAGGGGTATTCTGGCAAGGAGGAATTGTTGTTAAAATGGAGGCACCTTTTTATTAGAAGGAATCGGTTGTAGGGCATGATTTTCCTACAATCTCCAATCTGTAGGAAGGCGGACCTGGGATACCAATACTCGCGCTCCACATTGTTAACTATAACAGATTGTAACATCAACATGGACAGGAAGCGCCAAAATTCGTCGCTGGTCACATCTTTCCATCTTGATAAACGAGTCCAATTGCATTTTTGTTTTAAAAATAACTGTCGTGCGTATCTATTCGTTTCGTTAACAATGTGGTCTATAATATTGGTATCCCAGATTTGCTGGAATACCTGGAGAGGAGACATACCCGAGTGGTCAAAAGTTGGTCCTGATGGCCCAGAAAACTCTTCTTGGACAAAGTTGTTGTAATCGGCACACCAGTTAAAACTAAGGACGTCCATGTCACCCGCAGCCATATTACGAATGGCTTGGTCCTCCGTGCTGTCCAACTGCAAAAGCTCATTGAGCTCCGTGGGGCACGGCTCCTGAGCATCCTCGCCGGTGGTGCAACCTATCAGGCGATCCACAACGTTCTGGAATAGTATATGTTTGCTTGAGAAACGGTACAATGATGGTCTTACAGATAAACTAATACATGTATATTATTACCTCCTCCTCATCGATTTCGCTGCCACTGTTGACCTCCAGGTCGCGTTCTATTTGTACGTCTGCAATATTTTTTGTTGTTGATAAAATTTGTATACAAACAGTATGTACCGTAAGTCGGGTCGGGGGCAATTTTAAAGTGTGTAACTCACCAATCTCGATGGACAAATTAGATCTGGCGCTCCTGCCCGAATCGAATGCTTCCGTTCGAGTGCTGGTTGCTAAAACATTTACCCAAAATTTTAGTGATGTCTTGAATTATTTACAAAAATAACAGAAAAACAGTGGACACAACAGGACTATATTCGTGAAAAGAAATATTCATTAAAAATATTGAAGGAAATATTTTCTATTAAAATACTTACTAGGCGTGCAATTGATTAGTTCAATGTCGGCAACGACGGGTGGGAAAGACACCTCCATGACCTGAACGATCCCCGGGGATGGGCTGAAGCGAATGCATGATCTCCTGACGATAAAAAAATGTGATGCCAATTCATTTTGTAAATTTTAGACATTCATTTTCACGCTTTTACACACATAGGCATTATACACCTAGACTTACTTCGTTTGAGGAGTAGTTAAATTGATGTCCTCTTTCACCCTCTTCCAAAAACCTTTGTGTCAATTCTGATAAAAAAGTACGAAGTAAAGTAAAGTATTGCATGAGCAAATGTAAAAAACAGTAGCTTTTGTCTTACCGAGGAAAGAATCTACCTGGTGATATTTTGGAGGCGTCCCTTCTATGATATCATCGTCGCTTTCTTCCGCTGCTGCTGTTGTTAATGGAATAAAAAAAGTGCAATGTATAGTATTGCATGAGCAAATGTTAAAAAGTGATTTTAGTTATAGTCTTACCGAGACAAGGTCCTTGCAGGGAAAGTGGAGAAGGCGTGCCCTGGATGACGTCATCGTTGGTCGTCTCCTTCGCTGTAGTTTCATTTTAGGAATAAAAAAGTACAATGATGAGCAATATATGAGCAAATATAATGAACCAATTTTAGCTATGGGAGCCATTCAAATCGACGACAGTTGCCTCGACAACCATTTCTGAATTTAGAACGGAATGAAAAAAAAAAATTATGTATTAATAGGGATAAGTAGAAATAACAGTTACGTATATGATAAAACAATGCACATACCATGCACAGACTGAACCTTTTCACATGGCTGAAGGACCCTTGCTGGAGGGATGGAGGGCACACCGGGCAACAGTGGGCAAGTGATCCACTGTCGTTCGTCGGGTACCGTCCTCTTACCCTTCCCCTTTCCTTTCCTGTATTCAAAAATAAATATTAGATTAAATGCAGGTTATGGCTGATTATCATAAACAAGTTTGTCGATTTATAAATATACTTACGAAGTAGGCAACTCCGGCATTCTATAATTGCCGACTTGTTTTATATCTTTGCGGTGCGCCAACTCTTTCCGCTGCGCAGCGCTCATTTTTTTATGTTTTATTGTCTGCAGCCTTACCAGACTTATTTTTTTTTATCTCGATTGCCAAACAAGACTGCACATTGACCCTTAAAACATAATGAAATTTATAAATAATGCACTAACAGTTAAAAAAAAAGCTTTGCAAGTAATTGCTTATGGACGTTTATCAGAATATTAGCGTACAGTTTCTGTCGCGGAGTATTGGGGTAAAATAAAATAAAAATGAACATCTAGACTGCTGGCAATTGACTGAAAGAAGAAGAATTGACATGAACATACCTTTGTTGTTCCCCCGACGGCCCTGGAGTGGGTTCCGAAGCGCTCTCGGTTTCAGCACTATACATAAAAACATTTCGCCAGCATTAATCGCGGCAATGCTGGTGAGTGGCGAGGGATGGGCAGCCGCGGTCTCCTTCTGCGAGGACGTTATGCTCCAAAAGGAGGCCGCAGAGCGGGATCGGGAGAGGGCCGATCCCGCTCGAAGGAGGCGGCGAAGGGGACGTGGCAGAGGTCGCTAACTCCCCAATCGCCGCCTAAGGGTCGCTGCGGCCACATCTTGGGGCGATGTGACCGCTGTACACGACTCGAGACAGATGACACTCCGGTGCGGCCGGGGGCTGTCGTCTAAGGCGGGATGCTGTTGCGCCTTTTACGCCGTAGAACAGTGAGAGGCGCGGTAGCGTCCTGCCCCAGGGTGACTACGGTCACTCCGGGATGTGCCTCAGACTGAGGTACGGCAGGGAGGACTCCAGAAGTCGCCGATGCGTTCCTGGAGCTCCTCCCGACTGCCGAGGTAGGCCGCCGCGGGGTTTAGTGGGTAGACCGGTTCTCCGGGAGTCCCACACACGCCCTACGTTTCCCCAACGGAGGGTATGGTGCGAAAAGCATTCCCCGCGTGAAAAAAAAAAAAAAAAAAAAAAAAAGGTACATTTCAAACACCTTTTTTTTTTTTTTTTTTTTTTTTTTTTTTTTTTTTTCCGTGCGGAAATCCCCTCGGATACCACCTGTCGGTGGCATGTCGGACCCGAACCGACTAAAACCGCACGCCTTCGCCGGGTACTAATAGCCGGGGAACCAGGTATACCCTAGAAAGGAAGGCCCTGGTGCCCCGACATACCTCGGGTCATCTACAGACGAGTAGACGACCCCCGCCCCGTGTGGGAACCCCATGTTCCCTGTGCTCCCTGAAAGCGAGCGCGCTTCGCAACGCGCTCGCCGCCACCCCGGCCTGCTTCTGCTAGGGTGACAGATGGCCTCACCTGTCACCCCCAGGCCTGCGCTTATGGAGGACGGAGGTCGTTCTGCGACCTCCGGCGCCTGAGTCGCCTGCGCTGCCTGGCCCGTGCCCGGGCCTGGCGGGCCGGGAGAGTTCTAAACCTCTCCCGGTCCCGCTCCGCCGTCTCCTTCGCGAGCATAACTTGCTCGCAGAAGGAGACGGCAGAGTTCCACGCACTCTCGCTCCGCACGATAGCCGCAATCAGGCTATCGAGCGAGAGAACTCCCACTCCGATGGCCGCCACGAGGTCTCGCCTCTGCTCAACCCACGCCGGGCACTCTGCCAGCGTGTGGAGAGCCGTGTCCACGGTCTGGCCATCGCAGTGGTGGCACTCAGGCGTTGGCTCCTTGCGGATCAGACACAGGTGATCTCCGAAACATCCCTTCCCAGTGATC